AAATAATACATTTTGCATTGTAAAGGGGTGCAAAATGAATTTTATCCTTTCATTTTTTTGATTGGTTAATAAAAGTTGATTTCTTGGCCCAAATTTTTAATTGGGCTATTGTAGGCCCGATTCAAATGTTTATTCAGCATTCAGGGAAATATTTAAATTTAATAACTAATTGGAGTGAAATACCTTAAACCGATTTAAATTTAATTCATATTTTTAAAATCAAATTTCAATGAATTAAAAGAACAACAAAATTGAGATAGTGGTCGGAAGCAAGAAATTTAATGGCGGGAGAAGAAGAAGAGGATTACATGGGCGACCTCTCTCAGTTTGTAGCCGTTTCTCAATCTTCTTCAAAGAAGGTACATTTAATTTTCATAACTCATTCAATCATTCAATTACTCCTTAAATCCCTAATTCCAGGAATTTCTGCGAAACCCTAGACCCTAATAATTCAATTAACCGGGGTTTTCATGTTTTTTATCCTGAATTCTATTGCTTTTATGGAAGTTATTAGCTTCTGGTGTTGATTTTGTTTGTTTATTCAATTAAAAAAAAAATTAAAAAAAAAATCATTGATTGCCTTTAATCAGGGTTCTGCAAGTGATGTAGTAGCGTCGAATTCATCGAGCAAGAAATCGAAAGCCCCCAAAAATTGGCACGAGCAGAAAAGGCTGAAAAGAGAGCGTAAGCAAATAGAAGAGGATAAGCAAACATTGGCGAACTTAGGTTCAGCAATTCCGCAATCGAATATCGGTTTCAAAATGCTTAAACAAATGGGGTACACTCCTGGCTCGGCGTTGGGGAAGGAAGGTTCTGGAAGGGCTGAGCCGGTTATAATGGAGATAAAAAGAGGTCGGGGCGGAATAGGTAAAGAGGATCCCGTGATAGAGAAGATTAGGAGAGAGAAAGAAAACGATGAGAGAGAAATGAGAAACGTGGAGGAGTTGATGCAAGATTTCGGGAGCCGTCAGAAGGAGCGGTGGAAGAGTAAGAGGATTGTGGTGAATTTTCGGAAAGCAGAGGCGGCTCTTGCGCAGCTGGAAAATCGGGATATTGTTGAGGTGGAGAAAAAGGAAGACGAGGACGAAGAAAAGGAAGAGGAGGAAGAAGAAGAAGAAATTACAGAAGAGGTACTTTTGTTTATGAATTGCAATAATTCTGAATTTCTTACTTTCGTTTGTGAAATATTTTGCTGGGAATTTGGAAGTTCGTACGATGCGTGGGAACCACTTGGTTAAATGAGTTTAATACGATCTGCTAGTTTATAGTTTAATAGATTGATTGTAGTTGTTTAAATGATCGACTTCCGATATTGATTCAGCCAATTTAAAAGCCGACGATAGGTTAGCCCGAGACAGAGGGGAATCACTTCTTATACTTGCTCTTGAAATACGAATACCTATAAGAATCTTGTGAATGGAATCTAATAGATGCTTTCTTTGCAGTTGCGACGTACAATAGGGAGGCTAACTTTCGGCATACTTGGCTGTATATCTGGAATTATAATCGTATATTTTTTTTTTTTGTGATACAGGATTTGCTAAATATATTGCTGAAGCTAAGAGATGAGTTCCGTTACTGCCTCTTCTGTGGATGTCAGGTAAACGAGAGATCTCATTCACAAAACAGTAATTCGTGCTTTAAACTCGAAACACGGAATATTTTATATGACAATATCGATCTTCTAGAATTTTGTTCTAATTCGTTGATCTTGTACATTTTCAGTATGAGACCATGGCGGCGCTCATGTCCGACTGCCCGGGAATAGATGAAGATGACCACTAGAAAAACGGGGTTTTGATTCCTTGGAGGTTACATATTATGTTTTGATTCATGCTAAATTGCTAGGTTATTATGTCCTTCTTAGACAGTACGATGTTGTGTGAAAAACATGGGGTTAACGGTAATAAAAGTTCTCGAGTTCTTTACTTTGGTTGCATTATAGCCCTTCAAATTATTCTCAAAATCATGGAAATGCACTACCAATCTTGTTTAGTACTGTAGATCCCGAAATTCGAAGACAAATAGCAGTTGAATGCTTATTATGGCGATGAACTACTTCAGACAAAGCAGTTTCAAGAGTTCAAAGGCTGAATGCACCTGCCTGTTGGTTCAACATTACAAAAAACAAACAAAACACAAACACGAATACAAACACAAGTCTGTTTCTCCTAAGGAGACACACGTGAAAGTTGTTAGGTACGTTCAAAGCGACCAATGCATATGCTGGACTGAAGAATCATAGCCCCTCGAGTAATCGAGCTCGTGGAACTGCACCTCGTTTGGCTGACCCAAACCGAGCTCCCCAGTGTAGTGACTGTTACCTGTGTGAGAAGTTTGTCCTAAAACCAGATCAGGTGGCATCTCATGCAAAGTGCTGTTATTACCAACTTGGCCGTCCTTAAAACCCCACGAGGAGGAACAAGGGAACTGACCAATGGCTGCACCGGGATCGAGAAAATTGTTTGCCCCGAGGCTCAAGGATCGGCCTCTTGAAGATCCCCAGGGCTGATTTGACAGAAGAGAGAGAGCACTGCTGGAGCCCGACGAGGCTCCACCGTAACAGCCGTGTTCCGTAGGTACACCGGAGTGAACACCGGAGTAACGGGGCCCGCTTGTTGAGCCTTGAACAAGACCGGATAGAGAGTTGTTCTGCCATGATGGAAGCTGATGTTTTCCACCAATGGCAGCTTGATTTCCAGATCCAGCGAGGCTCGAGTAATTGGTGAAGTCCATCACAATTCCTCCGCTTTTGCTATGGTTATCTACAAAGAGGGAAAATATAAAAAAAAAAAAAAAAGAAAAAAAAAAAAACTTGGTCTCAAGTTCAGCAGAAAGTAGTGTAAAAAGCAAGATTAGTTCTTGATAATAGAGAGATTTGAGACAAAGGATGTCTGAAGTCTGACCAAACATGGAAGGACAAGGACTTCCATAGCGAGGGGAGAACAAAGTGCCAGGTGGCGGCTTCCTCCGACGCTCGTTATGGCCAGCAAGGCGTCTGCGGCAGCTTCTTTTGTCTTGGTCAAATTCGGGCAATTGATGAAATCTGGAATAAGCTATTTATTACAAGAATAAGTGGAGGCCACGCAACGGAGGATAAATTTATGTCTCCGCAAAAATTCAAGAAAGAGTTCACTAGTGAAGGTACATCAGAATTTGGTACTTGTTTAGCGACTTACAGTCGTATTTGGTATTTAGGGATCACTGTCACTTAGTTTTAGCCATCATACAAAAGTAGATGATTCTCACAAACTTCATCAGACGACTAATCGTTAGGAAATATGTCACACTAGTTCTAAGTATATAATATATCTTAAAATTGACGCATTCACCAATTATTAAATCTGTTTCTCAAGTTCCTTGTTTCTAGGTCGACTACCACTCTATGACTTTACTCGAGACAATTTATACCTGCATAGTGCTGCTATCTATCATTTTTCGTACAATATATTGAAATACTTTCTACGGTTTGATCTTTGCCAATAAATGGATGGCCAATAGATAATTGCTAATGTGATTTGTTGCTTGTGGATACTATATTTGATTTTTTACGTCCGCTCGTCAAATCCAATATTTGTTTCTTACATGTACTATGCCTACCAAATACTACGTAGTACAGCATTTCTTTACTTGGACACACTACATGAGTTTCTCAGACAAAGCCCCTTCAAAATACGGAGTATTACTCCTTCGTACATCTACGCAGCTTCAAATGTTAGAATCTTTTCAATAATTTAGCAAGCACTACTGAGAAATAGGTGACGGCATTTAGGGGAGTTCATATGAGAAAAACACTACATGATTCGCAGGTTAACAGAAACATGTAGTCTGAATTGACTTTTGGTCAAGACGAACCGGAAAAAAATCGTGGATGTGTGACCGGTGAACCGGAAATAAACTCTCTTCGTTAGATTAACAATCAAGAATACTTTTCTTGTTCCTGAAATAGCCCAAGACAGACACTTTCTAGTTTCTACCACTTGACTCAGTTTGCACAAACAAATTAGGGGTAGAAATGTCCAAATTCTTGATTCAAGAACCATAGGACAATAGATTTATACCTACCTTGTACACTACCTTAAGACAAGAAAGAACTAACAGTAAAACAGTCATTCAGCAAGCAATTAACCCATTTTTTTTAATTACTGAAATTAAAAAAAAAAAAAAAAAAAGGTGGGGGGTGGGGGTGTGGAAACTGACCTGCTACACTGCTGGCAAAACCTCTGCTCAAGACCGGCAACAATGACCTTAGGAGACTTAGAATGGAAGCCACAAACTTTGTGCCTAGAATAGTAAGCCTTAGCATCACTCAGATCTAACTTACACCCCTCCACCTGGCACCTTGGTGTTGTCTGACCACCCTGCGCCGCCGCACTCCTCACTTTCTTCGCCGGAGACTTCGGACCCCCGCCGTGCTGCTTCCCAGAACCCACACCCTCAAAGTAGATTTTCTTGCCGAATTTCAAGCCGTCGTCCGCCGCCCCACCAACAGCCGCAGCAGCTGAGGAAGAACCCTTTTCCATTCTTGATATCTACAAGCACCCATTCATTTTTTTCTGCTGCTGTTTTCTAAATCAGATAGAACCCCACATGCATTATTCTATAGTGCGCTAAAGATAGAGTGAGATATATATATATATATATATATTAAATAAATGTAAGTAAATCAATAAAGATGGGTTCTTTTATTTTCTTTTGAAAAAAAGGGACTAAAAGGAACAGAAAACAGACATTACTTTATGGTTTATAACGCTTTCTTCTTAGTTTTAGAGCTTCTTAACAAGTTGATTTTTGCAGTAAATCCATTACACTGTGTGTGTGTGTGTGTGTGTGTGTGGTTTAGTAGAGGAGTTGATAGTGGTGGTTAGTATAAAGTAACAAAAAATACCTGACAAATGGGCCACAATGCCAGCTTGGGGTTTGTGTATTTCGAAGAGACTATTGTCAAAATAATGGAGCTCTTTTTTAGAGAGAGAAATAAAGAGATTTAAGAGAGAGAGAGAGAGAGTGAGTGTGTCAGCTACTTTATGACACTACATTTTTTTAGGTCCACTTTTAACTCAACTGTCGCTTTTTTAGTAAAATATATGACTGAAGTATCTAATTATTGTGTTTCCTTTTATTTTAATTTTTTTTTTTATATATATTTTTATATTACTTTAGATTTCAAATATGATTTCCATCATTTTATAATTCAAAATTTTCAAAACCCGAAATATAAAATTTGTAGTATTTAGAGTTAGTTTTCTAATTCAACTTGAACACTAAAATTGGATGTCGGATGAGAAATATATACATTAATAAATAAACATTGCCCATGACTTTGATATATAATTTTGTCACACGACATCCAATCTAACTGATTTAACTTGGATTAAAAAAGCTTAAATGACTACATTTTCGTGTTTCGATTTTTTTTTTTAAAATCAAAATAATATTACTAAAAAAAGATATTTAACATTTCACCCATTAAAATCACGACATATAAATATAGTTCTTTTTATTTGCTACAAAAATTATGGATAGCGGCAAGCAAATATTGCAAATTGCAATTCACAATATGGGCTACATTGCAAATTGCAATTAGCTATAGGGACTTGCAGTAAAAAAAAATGTCCTTATATATAGTAATATAATATTATCGTGAGAAATTTTAACGAATTTTGTAACATGAAAAAGGTGATATATAGTTGTAGAAATATAGTTGCAACTTTTATAATGTGTTTTATTGGTACAATGTATTTTTCTTTGGAAAGGAAATTAAATCATTTCTTCTAAACATGGCAAATATTCAAAGCCAATTTAAACATAAAAGTTGTACTTACAAACCAATCATTGAATCAGTCTATCCTAATATGGCCAATTTTCTCTAGGACAACTTATTATCATTAAATAAATATGATTTTATTTTACCCATTAGAATATTTAATTTTGAGGATTGGTTTTACTAATTATATTTTTTTAATGAACCAACAACCAACCATATATGTGCACCGTAAACCTATATTTTCGTATAATATCTTGCAAATCATACGAGAATCGTAAACCACACTAGGCTAACCATGTGTGAGAAACTAAACCATATATATTTGATTAATATCTTAGAAATTTACATTTAAAGTATTGATAGCATTATTTTTTTTAAGAAATAAACAATGAAAAATAGAGTTCATGCATCGTTAATTAGTATAGACTATATAGAATATCTCAGATGCAAAAGTGAGTAAGCATGACACAAGAAATCTTTAATTGCAATTTAAATATTGGAACTTTTGAATTAATTTGGTTTAAATAGTAAATAAATAAATATAAATAAAGAATGGGAATCTTTCTTTTTAAAGAAATATGACCACTTACCTTAACGATCACTATTTATGTATTATCAGGTTGGCAAGTTGCTTATTAAGAAAATAAATATTAGTTTAAAAATGAAATAAATATATTATATATATCTTTCTCGTATGGGAATGTGCAGTGCAGTATTTTTAATTAATACTACGTTACATGAAATAAATAGTAATTTTTAATTAACACTCATTGATTTGCATAGGAAAAAATGCATTACTTTAGGTTAATTTTTTTTTATTATGTTTTAGTAATCTAACTACTTACTTATACATCATTTAAATTTCTCACAACATATTTGCATCCATACTTGATGTATTTTAAAATAACATTGTTATTGTAATTGATTTAATAAGCCATTTGCAAAATAAATGTTACGTTTGAATATGACCAAAAAACAAAATATATATATTGTCAATTCATCAATAAAGAATACAAGAATTTCGCATAATTTTTTTTTTTAAATACAAATTTCAGTATACATGTTGTATGAAGTTGCCAAGTTTTTGATGCTTCTGCTGCAAAAGCCGATCATTGCCCGAGATGGCCAGTGATCGGGCGTAAAACCAGATTGCTGCATTTGCACGTACAATTTTAAGGCTTCGCCTACCGTTCTGTGAGTATCCAGCAATTAACGAAGTCCACGTCACCACATTTCTTTCAGTCATATTGTCGAACACTTTCCAAGCATCATTTGTCGACCCACATTTTCCGTACATATCGACAATACGTTTCTCGAGAATCATATCTTTTCTGTAACATCGTATAGCCGAAGGGCGTCTTTGATTGTTTATTCTCGAAAATAGGATTCCAGTTAGAGATTTTCTATATCTGCTCAACGCCATTTATGAGAACTGAGAAGTGATTCCCTCCTGGGCAATTCGTCGAACACGTAGCATGCAAATAATAAAGCTCGACTTTTCTTTCATATGGATTCTTGGCAGACACATGAGTAAAGTTTGAATATAACGGTGCTGCGCGGGAGTTTTGAGTGAAATGTAGTATTACGTATATATGCCCCTGGGGCTACTTTGGTCATTTTACATAATAAATAGAAGGTTTCTATTATTAATTTGGTTATCAATTATTTCTCTTCTATGTTATAAATTAATTTATATTCAAGCCATTTTATTCTAAAAGAAGAAGAAAAAAAAATTATTCGCAAGTACAAAACTAATTTCAATTCCATAAAAAAGAATCCAAGAAATCGAAACGTAAATTAAAAAAGCTAATTTTTAACCTTATTCGTAATTAAAAAAAAAAAATCATAACGAGGTTACATGACCTATACCAAACTCTTCGGCTAACTCATCCCACACCAAAAGAAGAGTCATCACAACAAGTACAAGTGCCGAAACGAAAACTGCTTTACGCGCCAAATTCAAACCTTTGTTACATCGAAAAAAAAACGCAACAAATACTTTCATTGAGTTAGTAGAAACTGAATATGCATTTGCATAATTAATTCAACAAAATTTCATTGAGTTAAACATGTTCTGCAGATTCTAACTAAGATACAGATAATATGTACATAAGAGAGAAGTTCAGAAGGCTCGCAACACAAGTAATAAAAAAAAAAAAAAAAAAAAACCGATTTTATACCTGATCGTAAAATACCAAAATATTCTACTAAGAAATCAAGCTAATTAAAATCAAAAGCTACCCTTGCTATATTGCAAACGATTGATGGCGATTTTCACAAGTGGATGAGCCCAAATACATCATTATAAACTAATATTCATATTTATTTCCTGTCAATTTTCCCGCCGATTCCAAATGTATATGGATAAAATCACTAACAAAATTAAAACCAAAAGAAGATTAGGGCAACGGAGAAATTACGGTCATGGTTTCGCCTGGTGAGAAAGAACAACGTCGCTGCTGATGTCGACAAATGACCGTGGGGCCCCACGGATATTGGAGAAAGCCGGAAAAAAACTAAATGGAAAAGAAAAACAGTTGACGCACAACAAGGGAAAGTACGGAAACGACGTCGTTTAATAGAAGGGATTTTTGAGAAAAAAGGGAAAATAAATACGCATACAAATATCATCGAATCATACACATTAGATTAAGTATTTAATATCTTGTTAATATAGGCGCATCCGCACCCGATTATAACCCAATCCCGCATGCTTTCGTAACTAAACTATATATATATATGATAGGATTATTTGCCAAAACCCCCTGGTTACACATGTGCAGTTACCATGTGTCCAAAAAGAATTTTATATTTTAAGATAAATTTAAAATATTTTTAACTAATAAAAATTAGGGTAAATTACAAACACCCCCTAAGGTATGGTCAAATTACAAAAAACCCCTCTTGTTTGGATAATTACATCTACCCCCTCAACTATGATTTTTTCTTAGACATCCACCTTTATGGTGCCAAATTCAACATAGTCATCTAGATTCCGTGAAATGTGCTCTAGTTTGTACTCTTTTTGTGTAAAAAATACAGTTTCCGATGCACCACAAACTGATATATACAAGCTAAAAATCACATATTATGGTTATCTTGCTTCATAATGTAGAGTTTGAACGGGATAAAACGGGTACAAAAGTGATAATATTCCATATAATCTCGAAGATTCCACTAAATTTGATGAGTTGAGGGGGTGGTTGTAATTATCCAAACAAGAGGGGTGTTTTTGTAATTTGGCCATACCTCAGGGGGGTGTTTGTAATTTACCCTAATTCTATGTACAGAGTGGTTTTTATGTTGACATAGTTGTTATACAGATTGGTTTTCAAGCTTATATACTTATTATACATAGTGATTTTCATGTTATATAGTTGTTATAGAGAGTAGTTTTCGTGTTTATATAGTTGTTTATACATAGTGGTTTTCATGTTTATATAGAGTGGTTTTTATTTAAAAAAATTGGAAAGAAAATAAAAAAATACCATTTAAAAAAAAATCGAACTTAAGAAAAAAGAAAAACCATGAAAAAGCGAAATTAAAAATAAAACCATTTTTTAAAATTAAAATAAAAAACATGAAAAATATAAATATGAAAAAAAAAAAAACCGAAAAAAATTAAAAAAAAATACAAAATTTTCTTTTAAATCGAAATAAAAGAAAACCATGAAACAAAATAAAAAAGAAAAGGGAAAAAAACTTTATTGGCGTGATGTGGGGAATAATTTTTTTTAGAAGATTTGGGTGTAGATTATGGGGTATAATTTTTTTTAATTAAATAATTATATGAATTAATAATTAGTGGGGGCATATATGATTTTTCAGGTCCATTGGATTTATCTCAAATATCATTTATAAATAAAGAATTTATCAAGAATTAAAATCCCAATGAAGGGTGTTTGGCATATAGCCCCTATATATATATATATATATATATATATATATATATATATATATATATATATATATATATATATATATATATATCAGCAAAACGACTTCCATCTTCTTCCGTTTTTCACAATTCAAATCTAACTGTTTCATTCTCTCTCT